TACAGTAAACACTGACTAGATGTGTTTTGACATTTCAATTTCTATCACAGTTTATTTTTGTCATCTTCACACTCTGCAATATTTGATTATCCTCCTGCGTCCTGCATCAGCTAATTGCAAATACACAGTCAGTTTAAAGAAAAAAGGGGCATACATTAGAGCAATTTGCATGCCCAACTGAAAATTGGAGGAGGGAAGTCGGCTTTTGGTAACATTTGTGAACCAACAAATTTAATTATGTGCTAGTAGAGAGAAAGAGAGAGACTGAATTGAAAAAAAAAAAAATGACTCAGGAAAAAAAAATGTGTAGAATAAAAGCTGCAACCGGAATGACACAAATTGTAGGCAGTTGAGAATCTCGCCCTCCATTTGATTCACCTTTAATAATGAGCTATTTTCCGAATAATAAAAAGAGGAGGAATCCAATATGACGGCCGGCCGTGGCTACTTCGGCACAGTCCTAGCCTACAACAGAACGCAAGTCCTGGAGCGGACCGTGGCGTGCGCGCCGTTGCTCTCCTTATCCTGCTTGGGCGCAGCTGCCGACTTGGCCTTGCGGAAGAGGCCCCGGGCTGCGCCGCCTGCCGACGCTGCGCCCGACAGAGCCCCGTTGCCCTGCAGCGAGTGCCGTCCCGGAGTGCCGTCGTCCTGGCCGGCTCGCCCGTTGGAGTCCTGGGGGAACAAAAATATCGGTGTCAATCGCGGTCAGTGGTCCAGTGGTCCGGCGGGGAGCAGCTCATGCGTACCCCGTTGAGTGCGCCGGGGTGGGTGTCCGGGGTGGGCGGGTGCGAGGAGGCCTGCTTCTGCAGCCGGTGCACCGCGAGGCGGTACGTGCCGATGACGGGCGAGCGCACACCCTTGTCGATGTTCTCGTGCAACAGGGCGGCTCCGATGCCCAGAGCGGCCAGCCGCTCGCGGGCCAGGACCTCAATGTCCGTCAGGGCAGGGGTCGCCGACGCTGGCACCGCGGCCGGGGCGGTGCCGTCCTCGGCCGCCGTGCTGGTCGGGGCGGGCGCCGGGGCGGGCGCCGGGGCGGGCGTCGTGCCGTTGACTCTGGTGGGGAGGGTCACCCAGTCGCCTTGGTCGTCGTCCGCTTTGGGGAGAGGAGTGCCTCGGAGCCACTCCGACGTCAAGACCTGCTCCATGGTGAGACGTTCAGACGGCGTCTGCCTGAGGATGGCCTCTGTGAGAGAAGACGGACAGAGGTTAGCACCGACAATGACACACGCGCACGCGTGACGATGTGATGTGCGGGACGCACCTATGAGTCCCTGACACTCGTCGGACAGGTGCGCCGGTAGGCTAAAGTGCCCCTCCAGGATGTGGCGCTTGAGTGAGGCGACGGTCGGCGCCTGGAAGGGCATGTGGCCCGTCACAATGAAGGCCAGCAGCACGCCCAGCGCCCACGTGTCCACGGGAGGGCCGCGGTACGACTCGTCCCGGAACAGCTCCGGCGCGGCGTACGGCGGGGACCCGCAGAACGTGTTCAGCTGCTGTTGCATCCCCGCGGTCAGCTCGGTGCTGAAGCCGAAGTCGCCAAGCTTGACGAGGGTTGGGCCGGCACAGAACACGTTCTCGGCCTTGATGTCCCTGTGAATGATGCCTCGCCCGTGCTGCAGCAGATAAGAGACCGTTAACGAGGCGATCATGACGAGATGCCCCGGCGCCGCGTCCCGCCCCAGGCTCACCAGGTAGTGGACGGCGGAGGCGATCTGGCCGAAGATGACCTTGGCCTGCGGCTCCGGCAGCCGGCCCAGGGTGCTGATCTTGTGGTAGAGCTCCCCGCCCGCGGCGAACTCCAGGACCAGATGCAGCTTGGAGTACGTCTCCACCACCTCGTACAGCCGGATGATGTTGGGGTGGTGCACGCTCTCCATGTTGGCCACCTCGCGCGTCACCATGCGCCGCGTCTTCTGGTCCAGCTTGGCCTTATCCAGGATCTTGATGGCGACGCGCTCTGCAACCGTCAGATTCGGGGATGTCAGCTCCGAGAAGCATGGGACGGCAGTCGCGGGCCGAAGCAGAACTCTCATGAAAGGTGCCTGCCCCCTGCCAGTCCCTTGCTCTGCCGGTTCGCCCGCCCCCTCCCAGGAGAGCAGACAACTGGCACGCGACACGCAACCAG